GCCCAGCATTGCATGTCCCCTGGGGATAGGCACGCGTGTGTCAAACTGGATTGCCCACTGCGTCTGTGGCTTTACATTTTCCCCGCGGTACAAATTGCACGACAGCAGATGCATGGCCGCTTGCACTCGCACGTCAGTCGATGCAGAGTTGCCAGATCACGAGAAAATGAAAGGCGAGCAGAACAGCCAAAGACATCTGCAAGTTGCAGGCTGGGTTCCGTTCACCGCTAAATCTCGGGTCGCGGAAGCGGTTCAGCATTACATTTATTTAGAGAGGCGTAGCACCGTTATTTTTAAAGACACTGTACTGTACTCACGTCAGAGAACTGCAGTGACACGACCGTACTCTGACGATAGCTGGCGCAAAACTGTGCCACACGCCCTCCCGCGTAGCCTTGTGGGAGCCTCCGTACCGATGAAGTCAATTTGTTTGAGTTTTTCTTCTGGTTCCGTTTCGATGACGTGCCCCTACATCATTGAAATGGAAACGGAAGAAAAACTGATGGAAAGGGTTAATGGAATGGCAGGCACAGCTTACTTTGGCTCGTGCAGTTGACAACGTGAAGCGCCGTACGCCAACTGCTGGGATTTCTGAATGGAGGGGTAAATCAGCTTTTTTTCTCTCCCAACCACTACTATCCAACCTAACCCCCTGACTCTCATCTCACAGCATGTGCCAGTGTTAAGTGCTTGTAAGTGCTCAGATAGGGGAATCTTAGCTGATAATGGAATCAGCCGTAACTCGATGAGCCACGCCGCGGTGCTGTAAATGACGTTACGTGTTGTTGCCGTGGCTTATTGCACTGCGAACCATTCGAAAGCCACCTTACTTAACGACGGGCCCCATCGAACGACCAATCAACACGCCTCGTGGCTGACCCCTTTATTATTGCCTCGGGGAAATGTCCCGGATAGTTTTTTTTTTATGTAACTTAATTGTGTCACTTGAATGCCATTGATGTCTCGAAGTGACAACATGAAAACGTTTTGCCATTCTTGGATGTTGGGGAGTCCTGTTTATTGTAGTCCCTGTTTTTAACTCGTGAAAAAATTGGCTAAATTAACCTTCAAAAAGATGCCTATATATTGTAAATTTTATATTAAAAAAAATATTTCTTGTATATAGATTATAAATGATCGTTGTGAATCAGAGCTGAAACTATGGCCGACTGAATAATCGATTAATATATTGTTGCTTGAATTGGTATGTTAATCAACTACAAATTGACATGTAACAACTAATTTATGCAGGGCCCTTAACCAAATTAATCCAAAGGCATTCTTGAGTGCTGGAGTTCTTCAATGCTTATTTGCAGAATTCTAATTAATGATGCCATATAGGCTTTAATATGGTGCCATGTAGGGTTTAATACAAATGATGCCATATATAGGTTTAATATGGTGCCATAGGCGGTTTAAAAATGCTGGCATATACGTAGGGTTCCCGGACAGTCTAGAAAATGGCATCTGCGTTCGGGCGGCAACAGAAATTTTATTGTGCCGAGGCCTGGTGGTGATATTATGATGAACTTTATTACAGTAGACTGCACAATTTTGAACGACGTAGTGTTGACTAAGAAATATGTCCGTGTTTTGTCTCAAGTGGGAAGGTGTAGGTGGGTCGGGATTAATGATTTATTACGTCCTTGGGGCAGCACATTGCTGTGAGTTTCCTGCGGTCAGAGGTCAAGTGCCCAGCGTCCGCCATTTTAAAATGCTTGCCTGTAAAATATATTTTTTTAAATACAGATATATATTTTACCGTTTAATTATTTTTTGTTAATAGACAAATCTGTATCACTCCAGGTTGTCAATCGACGTTTAGCATATTACGTTAAGGGAATGGAAAGGAAAAAAAACAATGGGGCCCAAAATGTCAACAAGACTACTCTGTGTGCGGATCTCTCGGGGGGGGGGGGGGGGGGGGCAGTTGGCACCTGCTGAAGGAGATGGTGGCAGGCTCAAGCCCCTTTCCTCCTATTTCATTCCCAGAGGACCCGAGCAACTGCTCTTGCTATATCTTCCAGTTGCCCTTGTGTGGGATAATTAATAGGGCTTAGGAAATATTTATAGAACGCCCTATTGTCCGGCGTGTATGCAGAATGTCTGGTCCAGTAATTGAGAGCGGCCGTTTCCTAATTTTGTGTCGGCTTTAGTGTCACACTTAAAGGGAGGTGAATTGTTTGGACCGCTCGTTACAGGGACGGTTTCGTAAGCCTTGAAGCAATTTAGAACGCTTGCTTGAGCCGCTCGTGTGAGAAAAAAACGAATCACGACTGGGCTGAATTATTTTGGGTTCCCGAATTAACACAAAAGTTAGCTTGAAATGTATTTAATATATTATAATTAAACCTAAATTTACATGCAATCAATTGCGTTTCCCCAAATTAGTCACTCGGGTATTACGGTGGAAACAATTTGCGACCTCGAAATGTTTTTTTTTGCTCGGTGCACAACTGTCTGGTGCCAGTGTAAAGAAAACACAACATTTAATTTTAGACTTCGGTAAATTCACGTAGATAGAAAACAAAAAGCTAAATTAAAAGCAAAAACCCACGACGTTTCGATCGCAACACAGGCGGTCTTCATCTCCACCTGATGAAGACACAAGTGGTCTTCATCTCCACCTGATGAAGACACAGGCGGTCTTCATCTACACCTGATGAAGACACAGGCGGTCTTCATCTCCACCTGATGAAGACACAGACGGTCTTCATCTCCACCTGATGAAGACACAGGCGGTCTTCATCTCCACCTGATGAAGACACAAGCGGTCTTCATCTCCACCTGATGAAGACACAGACGGTCTTCATCTCCACCTTATGAAGACACAAGCGGTCTTCATCTCCACCTGATGAAGACACAGACGGTCTTCATCTTCACCTTATGAAGACACAAGCGGTCTTCATCTCCACCTGATGAAGACACAGGCGGTCTTCATCTCCACCTGATGAAGACATAAGCGGTCTTCATCTCCACCTGATGAAGATTCAGGCGGTCTTGCGATCGAAACGTCGTGGGTTTTTTGCTTTAAATTGTTATTTTTTGTTTTCTATCTACGTGACTTTACCGAAAGAACGAAGAATAACAACATTCAATATTTAAGGGCTATGCCTTACGGATGGGTAGTGCAGTACTTACAACGTGATGTATGCTCGAGCTTGTTAGAATCTGTGTGCTGCATTGGTGCAGCTCAATATTGGGTGTCTCTCTCTCTCTCTCTCTATCTTTGCCTCCTGCTTGTGCACAATCCACGCTTCTGCTTTCTCTCTTCTCGCCCCCTTCACTGGAACAAACTTCCCCCTCCACATTAAGCGGTCACCTTCATCCGCTGGCTTCCGCTGCGCACTCAAAGCTCTCTTTCTTGTTCCCTAGCTCGCCCCACGATCCCCTTAATCTCCCCCTCATATCGGTCACCGTTAATTTTCCCTTTCCACATTCTCATTATACGGCTTTCACTCATTCATCATTCATTCAATAATTCATCAGTTACTGTCATCAATTTGGCTTACACCGAACTCAGGCATCACAGATTTGTCCCCATCGCTTCCTCTCCTCGATCTATTTCATTCACCTCATCTCCACCATTGCACGCATACGTACCGTTGTTAATTATTTGCAAAGCACCTTGGTTCAAGCAGTACATACATTCCTTTAAGATAAGATCATAGTTACAGGTGATGTTTGGAATCTCTCCTGTTCCATCGGTAAGCACATAACAGCCGACGATGACACTGGATGAAGATCTTCCATTCGTTCCCTTGTCATGGCGATTTTTTTTTCATCAAAGGATTCGACTTGCGTAGACTCTTCTTTCTGTTACTCGTGTAATTTCTTCGGTTTTTCGTAACCTCGATACTCCCGGTTGAAAGGCGGAAGCGGCCTTATGTGTAATCTCACACGCACAACTCTGAATGAGCAGCACGTGACATCGGGTGTCTGCCACGCCACCCTGCTGATCCTTTAGCCTTTAACTCAACTCCAGGAATTCACCTCCACTGGAGTGTCTCTTAGGAAGCTGTAGTGATGACATTCCATATTTTGTTTCAAATGGCAGAGGCCCATCAGTACACAAACAAAAGGCTTTGTGTGTGTGTATATATACACACACACAAACATAGTGTGTGTATACACACCTAATGTATATACACACTGTCTATATACATTAGGTTTGAAGCAATTCTGAACCCTCGAACATGTAACGTCCATGGTTATGCTCTCAAAGAAAGAGAAAATAAAATAATAGCCTCCTAGGCTGATCTCTTTGTCTTTTATTTTATCCCCTCTGTAATTTTAAAAGACACTTTTCATTGGTGCATTTGAAAACATCTCCAATGCCATGTAGTGCTAGCGTTTGCTAGCGTTTGCTTCAGTAGCAGCAGCAACAGTAAAAAAACAAACCTTCCACCGGTTTGGAAGCCATGTGGTGGTGGTGGGAATTAAAATAACCAGCTGCGTTGACAAGCCATGCCGATTTAACGCGCAGTCTTATATTAATGTCCCTGACATTGTTTTGGCAAAACAGGCAGCGTTTTGTTGCTCGGATGACAGATACGCGAGACTGTGCCGCTTTAGCCGACCGCGCGACTTGTGCCGAGACATCTCTTAAGGTTTGCTCCTGATGGTTCGACAGCGGCAAGACGCGACGCGCCACAATTATGATCGTGGGCTGTGTTTCGGGTTTAATTTGACGCTGTTGCTCTCATTCGTCTGAGCTCACAACTGCCAGCTATTGTGCGTGCAAGACAGCTGCATTTTTAATCACACGAACGAACAAAGGCTGTTACAGCGCGCGTGTTCTGCACACCCCTCGGTATTTGTTACTGTCGTGAAGCAATATAAATGCCACGGGATTGAATATTATGCCGACGCTAAATTAATTAAAACTGTATTTTATGTTTCAAATTAACTGTTGCGTTAACAACTTTGCCGAAACGTCTTAAAATCGATCACAACTAATTTATTTTTTATATTTCCCCCCTACTCGTGCAAAACACGAGCCACGAGGTGCTTCGTTGTGGAAAGTCTAAATCCACTGCTGGATGAAGGTCTTCCTCCACCTGTGTCACCCCCCTCGGCTGCGCCAGTGAACTGCCGCTGCTGCTGCTTCATACAGAAACGAACTCGGGTCGCCGGGTTCGTAGCGCTCCGTGTCAACCGCGACTGCCACTCCCCACAACACACACGCGCACATAAAGACAAAGATCCCCTGTGTAGCCTACACAGGCTGCGTGTTAAGGTGAGCATCTGTGCAGGGCGGCGCAACGCACGAGGGCGCAGCGATGTGGGCAGCACCACGCACGGTCACGTTTGTCTCCACATTAAACCGGGTACGGTACTCATCAAAGGCTGAGTCTACCTAGGGGAGGCCTAGGACAGGTTATTTTTTTCACTCGCCACTGATTTTGACTTTAGCCCTGAATTGAACCCAGGTTGGCTGACTCGAAGCACAATTTTCTGATCACTACGCCAGTCCCCGAAAAAATATGTATACATTTTTAAACAGGGCCCTACATTAATAATAACAGCAAAACATTCAACGTCTTTTCTCTGGTAAGCATCAATGAAATACCAAAGTTCAGGGTCTCAGGGAAGGGTTGGGGCGATTGCTGCCTCCATGCACCGCCCTCCCTCGGATCTGCCGCTGACTGACACGGGATCGGCATCACGAGAATCATCGTCCCCCGCTGCAGAGACAAGAGCCGACGCGTAAACGCTTCCGCCCCTTCGCTAGAAATATCGGCGTCGACGAGTGCCCTTGCATTCGTTCTCAGCGTGGCGAGTGGAGGAGGGAGCGTGCTTGAGTGCACAATTCTTTATAGGGGGTTTGGGCGGCTAAATGTTGAAGCCTGTTTACGCTAAAGGTCTCGCACCCCTCCTCCTCCTTCTCCTCCTCCTTACCCTGCCCGATTTCCCTCGATTCCCAGGGCGGTGTTTGTGAGAGAAGGACGAGGAGGGGGGAAGTGCTCGAGTGGCCAGGTTTGGCCTTGCGCTCGTCAAGCAACGGGGGCCTTGAGCGCGAGTGGAAGGAGACCCGGCCGCCCGCCACGGAGAGTGCTGAAAGAAGAATGAAAGATGACGAGAGAGAACGATTAGGGCAAATAAAATTATTAATAACAAACGGAGTCGAGGGCAATTGTGTGTAAACATCGTACGTACGACTCAGCAAATGTGCATGTGAGTTTATGAATTAATGCCATTAATTACAGTAGCTTAGAATTGTTTGGCAGGCTTTGTTATTCCTTAACAAATATAATGTTGTATTGAAATTCAGAAGTGTTTTTTTTTTCTTTCTTTCGAATTGTAAACAGCTGTGGTTCACTATTCACTGGACGTCTGTGAAAAAGAGCTTCATAGCTTATCGGGTTTCTCCAGAATAAATAATAGATTTCCAATAAATTTGTATATGTGCTGTATTCATTTTCTCATTTTTTTCAATTTTTTTTTATTTTCTTATCAAACTCTCCAAATTTATATTTTGTTACTTCACGCAATCTTGTCCCTATGAATGGCTTTTTGATAATTTCAATATATTTTTGCAATTACGGTGGATTAAAAAAACGATTGCTGATGATAACGGTATCTTAATCAGCCATATACAATTATTATTTCACACGTTTGTGCGACATTTTCCATTTATCCTGCGACACACTTGTTTTTATATTGATTTATATTTGCATCATTGCTGCACTTAATATATATTTTTTGGTTTTTGTAATTTAGTAACCCAGGTCTCTCTTGCAAATGACTCATCCTGGACTCTGGAGCGCCTCACTTTGGATAAACAAAAATAAAGCTGGTAGTTGGTCTATCCACTGCTGATGAAGGCCTTGACATCATTGCCATCCCTGATGGTGGCCCGACACAACCACAATCCGTCTCACTTCTGCACATGAGCTGACCTCATCATTCCCTATGTGCGGTAGACACACATGAAATAGCATCGTATTGTTAGTAATGGAACACGTTGCCTCTAATAATAAGACGATCGGAATCTTTAGAGCCATTTAAATCTCGCCCTGAAAACTCGCCTCTTTAGAAATGGCCTTTTCCCCACGGGTTTGGGTGTTTATGCTGAGCTCTCTTCCCGACTTTCCATACACGGAGCGCGTTGGGATCCATGGATGAAATGCACTTTACAAATGTAAATTATTATTAGTAATTATAACGCATCGTGCGTTGCGGCAAATTTCAAGTACAATTTTTTTCTTAATCTCTCCTGTGGGCGTCATTATTTCTGCACAGTTGGATTTTGCTGAATTAAAAACCAAAGATTTTAAGGCACATTTTCAGGAAAAAAAATTAAATATCAACTCTCTTCAATGAGGACGTAATTTTGTGGCACGGTTCAAATCTCCCGTTATTTATTCAAGTAATGTCTACGCTGAAATTGTCTTTCTTAAAATATGCCTTCACACATACTTACCTGACCCATTTGTTATTTCTGTATTGTCCTCGTGTTGCAGTAGCTATATCTACAGTATTGAAGAAATACATAAATATAATGTACGTTGCATACAAATATATTTACAGCCGAACAGTGAATTATGGTGTTCACATTTCTCATAAGATGTCACTGCTTTCAATTTGGGGTCGAGTTTGGGTCTCAGCTGCTCAACATGCATAAGTACATACTTGTGACTACACGTGCATATATATAACAATTTCAGTCAAATTTGTCTTGTAATTTTATATTGGCTAAATTCTAGCTCCGAAATTTGTATATACCCATCTTACTGCAATGTGACATTGTGTGGGGAAAGCCATGATTTGAACTAAGTCCTGTGTATGCAGCTGTTTTGGTACGCAGGGCAGCACAGAGTTCCGTGAGATCTCCTAAACGATCCATCGCCTCGGTGACATGATGCGAGAAGCACAATCGGAATTAAAAATTAAAATAAAAAAGCATGGAATTACATATTAGTCGTATAATGCACGCCGGATCTGTCATCCACTTTTCTGCTACAGAATAAAAAACCCCAACCCCAAATGTCTGAAAAAACCTCCCACCAAAGCCAACATAGAGAATATTTCACTTCCCCCTCTCTCGTAAAAATGATATCAGAATCATCCAAAGGAAATTCAGTCTCACATTTTTCAAGCGACTTTTTTTTTCCTATTACAAGCTCATGAACAGAATAGATATTCCGTGCCAGCGTTGGGGTGTGAGTACAAAAAAACAGAGAGAGAGAGAGCATTCTACTTTGCTCGCCTCTTGGCCTCCAATTTTTTTTCATCTCAACCCATTATTGGTAACGTCGTCGGGGGGAGAGGAAGGATGGTCTCATTTAGGAAATAATTACCACAGCCAACAATTCACCCTCTCCCGCCATCAGTAAGCGGTTATCGCTGCTATCACCGTCTAGAGCATGCCCGTCGCATTATCATCATCATCATTGCAATCTTCATCAGTATTATTGTCGTCATCACCACTACTACCATTGTCATCACTGTCGTCTGCATCATCATCATCTTCATTATGATTAGTGTTGTGATTGTCTTCATCAAAAACTATCATTGGCCAATCATAAATACCATTTGTATTATGTTAATCGACATCACCATAATAATCATATCATTGTAATTTATCTTATCAATTGTTGTTGTATATTGTATCATGTGTATGGTTGAGTTGGGGATATATTACTTTAATTCAGAAACATTTGATATGCCTTTTGAATCCTATATCGTTATCATCAACATCATATATTTCATTGTCGTCATCATCATCATCAGTCAAATTAACAATGTGCTCAGGTCTACATGCTGTGGTATATGAAGATTATTCTGCAGCGCAAGGGAAGGCTGTAGGAGAGAGATGTTGGACAGGGGTCTGGCCGCATAGGGCTTGGCAAGAAAGCCATGCATCATTTCTGTTATTACGGCTGTGCTCTCGCACCTTGTTCAACTGCCTGCTTTGCGCTGTCCATGTGGAAGTAACTCGAAAAGGGGTGGGTGGGTGGCGGAAGTGCTTTTCATTCTGACCTCGTGTATGAGCTGAAGGCGCAGCTCTGCAATGGCTTGCTCACACTGCAGCTGACAGAGGCGGCTTCTGGCTGGTCAGTGAACAAAGAGAGTCACTGTTTAACACGTAGGCTTTCGCGACCAATATTATTCATAATAAAGGTTTTTGGGTTAGATCGCGTTTATTTATAAATGTGTCGTAACCCTCCACCACCCGACACGGCCAATCAGCAAAAAAAAAGGTGTCACGTTGACAAAAGACAAATAATTCACTATACTTTAGCCCACCGGTGTGTTGAATAGTGAATCCACATTTACAGTTTGAGTACGACGTTTCGCTGGTAATTACATCCAGCATCATCGGGCAATTCGCCAGAATGGTAAAGCCCTCGCTTGCTCCCGGTTTTATATGAAAGAGAGTCACTGCACTGCGCGCTTTCGGATGCGCCTCGGCGGCCGTCGGGAGCGCTCTTCCCTCCGAGCGGAGGCCACTAGGAGCCGTGCACTTTTAAATTTAGATTGAACACATTTCTTTAGAACTGATTTTTGTGTTTTGTTTGTAATCCTTACCCCCGCACCTCCGAATAGCACGGTTGGCTACGTACGGTGCGAAAGAATTTCAACATACAATAAACTAAACAAAAACTACATTATTTTTCTCTTCTTTGGTTCTTTCGGTAAAGTCACGTAGAATGAGAATAAAATAATAAATTGATAAAATAAAATAACACAATAATATTCTCACGACGTTTCGGCCACAACACAAGCGGCCTTCATCAGGTGAAGGGAGCGAGACTGTCTGGTAGGACAGCGCTGGAGTGAGAGAGCCACGTTCAGATCACGGCTTTTAAGCTGTGTGAGAGGAACAAAGAGCCTTGACGAAGGAATTAGCATAAAATTTAGCATTGAAAAGGCTGAATGATTAGCTTGTGACTGGTCACAGAAATAGCTATGTTAAAAGTTAAAGCATACACATCCGCAGAGGCACCCATTGTTAAAAGGAATTAGCATAGAATTTAGCATTGAAATAGCTAAATTAAGGCATTCGCTTGTAACTGCTACAGAAATAGTTACGTTGAAGTCAGAGCATACACATTCACCGAGGCACTTAGTACAAATCAAAACAGGAGAATTTAGCATTGAAATAACTAGGCGAATTTAGCATTGAAATAACTGGGTGATTTGCTAGTGACTGGTCACAGAAATGACTACAAATCTGAGCTATTCACAGTACTATATAGTGAACCAATAAAAACTAAAATATAAATTACCTTCATGTTATCAATAAACTCTATATTCTCCAATCAGCTAAGCTACCAACCATAAGTCGTTATATATCACAATGCTATATGGCGAAAAAATGGGTGGATTCTTACCCTCAAATTTCCGTACCACGGATAGCTACGGGCCCCGTTCAGACGGACGAGTTCGTCCATGGTCGGAACAGAGGAGGGGGAGAGAGACAGCTGCGAAGCCCTAGTATACTCCATGTTGTAAACCATACCATTAACCGTGGTGTGAGAGGTATTAAGAGGCAATGCTGGCGAAAAAGCTGCGGTCTGAAGGTCATCGTAAAATTACAATTAATTAAGAACAGAAATGATTTAACACATCTTTCCAGTGGTTACTGAGCCTGAATCCATCTTCTCGGTTGAAATTGTCTCTGTGCTTGTATATGTGAATGGCCTCATGAACGAATCTCTCATGGTAGCCAGTTGGTTTGCAAAGAACCTCCGTCTTGGAGAAGTCAATGTCATGTGAGCCCACTGAATTGTAACAGTGATCTGCCACGGCAGAGGAGTTCGTCTTACCGTGTTTCAAGTCTGCTTTATGTTCGCGGATGCGATCCGAGATATGTCTTTTGGTTTCTCCAATGTAGCTACTACCACAGAGGCACTTTAGTTTGTAAACGCCCGGGTACTGTATGTCTGGAAGAGCATCTTTTACAGATGGAACTAAATCACGGATTTTGTGTACTGTGTTGAATCGGACCTGGATCTTGTGTTTATTCAGGATTTTGGAGATCTTTTTAGTGACCCCTGCAATGTAGGGTAAGGTGATGGTTTTGAGTGGCTCCACAAGAGGATCCTTCTTCATGACTGGAGTGATGGCTTTGCGGATTGTGTAGTCGGAGTAGCCATTAGCCCTGAGAGCCTGGTGTACGTGTTTGAGTTCACTGGTAATGTGTTCCTGGTCGGAAATGCATTGGGCTCTATGGTATAGAGTCTTGATGAGGCAGTTCTTCTGGGATGGATGGTGGTGGGAATCCGGTTTCAAGTAAGCATCTGTATGGGTAGCTTTCCTGTAGACAGAGTGGCTCATTGAACCATCATGTCTCCTTTTAATTAAGACATCCAGAAAGGGTAGTTTGCCATCTTTTTCGACCTCCATGGTAAATCTGATGGCTGGGTGTATGGAATTGATGTGGTCGCGGAATTGGTCTAGAGCAGGCTGGCCATGTGGCCAGATGACAA